GCGTGGAGGGTGGGTTGGGGGGGAGGGGGCGACGCTTCCGCCCATAGCTAACTCTGGTGTTGCGCGTGGCCAGGGAGAACGAGTGAAGGAGAGATATATATATATATAGAGAGAGAGAGAGAAAGAGAACGAGCGAGAGAGAGGGAGGGGGAGCGGGAGCAAAAAGTGAGTGAGAGGGTGAGAGAGAGAGAGAGAGAGAGACATTTAGAGAGAGATGTAGCTTGCCGAAGGACCCGACCATATGCAGCTGCGAGAGCCGCATTGTGGGTACCGCTTTCGGTGGAGTTCTCTGTGGGGCCACGAAACGTGCGAGGGATGCGCTGAATTGGCGGCGCGGACTCATGTGGACACCGCCATTGGGGCCTTCGGTGATGCTCCCTATGGGGCCACGATACGTTGTCCTGAGTGGTGGAGACGCATGCAAACTGCGCCATCGGGACCCTCGTTGAAGCTCCTTAGGGAGCCACGCAAAATTGTCCTGGGTGGGGGGAACGCATGCGAGCTGTGCCATTGGAGCTTTCGGTGGGGCTCCCTGTGGGGCCACGAAACGTTGCTTTGGGCGGCGGTGACGCACGCGAACGGTGCCACTGGTGCCTTCGGTGGAGCTCCTTGAGGGGCCACGGAGCTCTGTCCTGCATGGAGGAGGCGCAGGCGAACGGTGCCATTGGAGCCTTCGGTGGAGCTTCCCGTGGGGCCACGAAGCGCTGTCCTGTGTGGCGTTGACGCATTCGGATCCTGCCACTGGGGCTTACGGTGGAGCTACTTTGGGGCCACGAAGCGCTGTCATGGGTAGCGTTGACGCATGCGGACCCTGCCACTGGAGCCTTCGGTGGGGCTCCCTGTGGGCCACGAGCCGTGTGATGGGTGTGCCCACATGGGTGGCGTTGGCGTGTGCGGACCTTGCCACTGGAGCCTTCGGTGGAGTTCCCTATGGGGCCACGAGTTCCCTATGGGGCCACGAAGCCCGTGTGCGGACCTTGCCACTGGAGCTTTCGGTGGAGCTCTCTATGGGGCCACGAGACGCTGTCCTGGGTGGCGTTGACGCATGCGGGCCCTGCCACTGGAGCCTTCGGTGGAGCTCCCTGTGGGGCCACGAAGCGCTGTCTTGGGCGGCGGTGACGCATGCGGACCTTGTCTCTGGAGCCTTCGGCGGAGCTCCCTTTGGGGCCACGAAACGCTGTCCTGGGTGGCGTTGACGCGTGCGGATCCTGCCGCTGGTGCTTTCGGTGAAGTTCCCTATGGGGCCACGAAGCGTTGTCTTGGGTGGCGTTGACGCACGCGGACCCTACCACTCGAGCCTTCGGTTGAGTTCCCTATGGGGCCACGAAGTGCTGTCCTGGGTGGCGTTGGCGCGTGCGGACCCTGCCACTGGAGCCTTCGGCGGTGTAGCTCCCTATGGGGCCACGAGACGCTGTCCTGGGTGGCGTTGACGCATGCGGACCTTGCCATTGGAGCTCTCGGTGGGGTTCCCTGTGGGGCCACGAAGCGAAGTCCTGGGTGGCGTCGACGCACGCGGACCCTGCCACTGGAGCCTTCGGTGCAACTCCCTATGGGGCCACGAAGCGCTGCCCTGCGTAGCGTTGACGCATGCGAACCCTGCCACTGGAGCCTTCGGTGCAACTCCCTATGGGGCCACGAAGCGCTGCCCTGCGTAGCGTTGACGCATGCGAACCCTGCCACTGGAGCCTTCGGTGGAGCTCCCTATGGGGCCACGAAGCGCTGCCCTGCGTAGCATCGACGCATGCGGACCCTGCCACTGGAGCCGTCGGTGGAGCTCCCTGTGGGGCCACGAAACGCTGTGCTGGGTGGCGGTGACTCATGCGGACCCTGCCACTGGAGCCTTCGGTGGGGCTCGATGACGATGACGAGGCGATTCGGAAGAGGGAGGAAAGGGAGGAGGAGGAGGAGGAGGAGGAGGAGGAGGAGGAGAAGACGCGGGGTGCTGTCTCTTCAAAACGAGGGCCCACACCACAGGATGGTTGGGAACAACAAATAAAGGTATGGAGGGAGAGAGATGGAGAGATAGAGGTGTGTGAACATATATATATATAGAGAGAGAGAGAGAGATTATCCCAGTGCGACCCTACCTAGGAGTTGGAGCCTCTAGGAAAGCAACATTAGTAGGAGCGGTGAACGCCGTCCTCCTCCTTCTCCTCATCGTATACAAGGGCTCAAACTGCCCCACTAAGGGCTCAAGATGGCCCACAGACGGACAACATGCATGGAACATACGTGCGCACACACACACACACTCACGAACATATATCTCTATATATATATGTATATATACACGTAGCAGCAGCAATAGTGGAAGCTGTGCTGCGCTATGCTATGCTATGCTATGCTATGTTCTGCTATGCTATGCTATGCTATGCTATGCTGCGCAATGCTATGCTGGGTTAGGCTCGACTAGGCTAGGCTAGGCTAGGCTAGGCTATGTTATGCTGTGCTATGCTGCGCTATGCAATGCTACGGTATGCTATGCTGTGCTATGCTATGCTATGCTTTTGCTTTGCCTTCGCTTTTGCCTTCACTTTTGCCTTTGCTTTTGCTTTTGCTTGGCACCCAGGGGACCGGGGGAACCGCCCGGCGCGGTCAGCATTGCCCGGCCCTTTTAAGCTAGAGTGTAAGAACCCTTCTAGGCAGAGCCTAGGTAGGGAATAGAGAGAGAGAGAGAGCTCCAGCTCCTATTTCCTCCATCCTTTGCGCTGTGCGTGGAGGACGGCCCCCTCCCCTTTTCCGTAGCGTTGTGTGGAGGTGTACAAGAGCAGCCGCTTCACCCTCTCCCTGCGGTGCGCGCATGGGGAGAGAGAGAGAGAGAGAGAGAAAACAACAAAAAAAAAGAAAGAGAGGGATGGATAGAGAGAGAGAGAGAGAGAGATGGATAGAGAAAGAGAAAGACATACAGAAAAAAGGACGGGAGTGAGGGAGGGAGGTAGGGAGGGAGGGAGAGTGATAGAGAGAGAGAGAGAGAAAAAAAAAAAGCAACCACTCCCCCTCACATTTCCTCCTCTGCGTTGTGCGCGGGGGGTGCGAGGGGTAACCGCTGCTCCCTTCCATCGTCCCCTCTGCGGTGCGCGGGAAGAGCCAATCGCTGCGCACCTGGGAGTGCAATCGGAATTTCCTACCCCCCTCCCCTTCCCACCCCCTCCCCCGCTATAGATACAATGCGAAAACGATAGGAACGCGAAGAAAGGCAATTCAACTCCTGTGCCTCCATCCCTCCACCTCCCTCCTCCCCTTCCTGCTCCTCCTCCTCCTCCTCCTTCTCACCTCCCCCAATAGGAATTCAATAGAATAATCACTCGGAAGTTGCATTCTCATGGGATGAGGATGTCGGGAGGGATTGAGGATCCCGCATTGAATAACTGCAAGATCGCAAAGTCCAGGGAACATAATGTCACGTTCCAGGGCATGGAGATGCAACCTCCACTCTGGCTTAGGTACCACATCTCCTTCACACATTGCACGCGCGTGTTCTTACTGGCCGTGTAGCACCCGAAACTAAGTTTCAATATCAAACTCACCGCAGGTGCGCCTTTGTTGCAACAGAACGCGTAAGAAAACAGCTTCGCTAAATAGAACCATATTTTGAGTCAACGGAGGGGAGGGGGAGGGAGGAGGGAAAAAGGAGGAGGGAGGAGGGAACAGGGAGGAGGGAACAGGGAGGAGGGAGGGAGGGAGGGAGGGAGGGAGGGAGGGAGGATGAGGAAGAGGAGGAGGAGGAGGAGGAGGAGGAGGAGGAGGAGGAGGAGGCAGGAGGGAGGAGGAAGAGGAGGAGGAGGAAGAGGAGGAGGAGGAGGAGGAGGAGGAGGAGGAGGAGGTAGCCCCTGACGCCGTGGAGTGATCAGGAGGGAGGCCTTCTCTGGCCGTCTTCGGCCTCCAGGCGCCCCGACTGGGCCAACAGCATTTCTTCACGTGAGGAGGGCCCGACTGCAAGGGAGGGATCAAGACTTAGAGGAGCCTGCGTGAGAAAGTCACGGTGTCGGGGGCCCGGGGGGGGGAGGAGTCGGGCGTTGCCAGGTGTGCCCCTGTTGAGGGTACCGACATGGGGACCTCGGCTGCCTCGACGCGCAGCACGCAGCGCGTTGACGCGGAGCTCATGGCGCAGACCGAGTACGCACGTTAGGCGCAATACGATCGCCAACGCGTGGGCCAGCGCGCTGAGCCAACGCGCAGCGTGTGAACACGGACGTTCTGAATACGGCACGTGTTGCTCTTCAAGGTGCACGTATCACGGCAGGTATGATGGGGACGGAAATATTAGAATCGATGACCGACAGCCTTGGCTGCCCCGATACGCCCGTTTTGAAACGCAACACGTGCCGTGCTCACAGCGTCCGTGTCAATGCGCTGCGTGCTGGTTCAACGTATTGGCCCACGTTCGGGCGAGCGCATCGCGCCAAGCCTGCGTCCTCAGTCTACGTGTCGGGCTCCGTGTCGACACGCTACGTGCTGCGTGCTGCGTCATCGGGGCGGCTGTCGCCGCAGGCGTCGACCGCTCGTGGACGGGAGAGGCGCCTGCCCAGCAGCTGCCGCTGCCGCTGCCAGGACAGCACCTGCTGCCGGGCACAGCCCATGTTGTGAAGGCCTTGTGGCCGGCGCCGCCGACCCAGAGGGACGACGACAACGACCACGACGACAGTTTCAACGACGAGCTGATGACCGTGGCAGAGCGCTCGGGACATGGTGCGAGCGGTGGAGGGAGGAGGAAGAGGACGAGGAGGAAGAGGAGAAGGAGGAGGAGGAAGAGTAGGAGGAGGAGGAGGAGGAGGAGGAGGAGGAGGAGGAGGAGGAGGAGGAGGGGGAGAAGGAGGAGGGGGAGGAGGCGGAGGCATAGCCCATATTCTCGGAGGCCGTTTCTATACCCTGGCGATATAACGGGCGTGACCGTGGGGGGGCGGGGGGGATCGGGCCGATCACGTTACGATTCGCGCCGGCGTCGTCGGGGAATGTTCAGGAACGGCTCTTTCCCAGACGGCGCCAGCACGAACTGGTGGGATCACGGGCGTTATCGCGAAGAATGCAAGAACGAATTGTGCTTGCCGCCCCCTCTGTTCGGAGGGGCAAGAAGTCATGGCAATGATGCTTCCCATGCTTCCAGGATCTCCCGGGTTTCCTCGCGTTCCCTGCGGGCTGCAGGTCGGGGGCCGCCGGATGCTCGGCCTATCGCATCATGACATCGCTCGCGTCTTGCTTCTATCTCTCCAAGCCGTTCGTGTGGCCGGCGCGCGTTCCCTTTCGTGCCTCGCAGCTTCGATTTCCGCCTGGTGCATGTTGCATCCCGTGCGGCCGTGCCTACAACCAGGTCGGTGCACAGGCGACGCCGTGCGGTGGCAGGTGCCAAGAGTTTGCTCGCTGACCAGTTTGGGCTTCGGGTGCGCACTGCAGAATTACGGTGGGGGCGTTTGTTAAAGAATGTGCGCAGGAGGAGCCAGACCCTGGAGGATTCCTTATCCAATGAGGGCGGCGGTGATATCCATGGCCGATCAACGATTCGAGTTCCACTTGCTTCCAGACCCTGGATCCCTTATCTAAGGGTTCCTTATCCAGTGCCATCACCGCATCTGAACGGAGGGCCCACCCTTGCGCAACTGCGAGTGTCGCGAGCCAGGTGAGACGAAGGAGGGAGGCCGCGAGAGGTGTGAAATGTGTGCTGCCGACATCGGCACGGCGGCGCCATGCGAACCCTCCCACTGGGGTCTTCGGTGGAGCTCCCTGTGGGGCCACGACCCGTGTGTTGGGCTTCCGGGGCGAAAACTCATCTCTCCGAGCCTTGGGCCGAGACGTTGCCAGCTTTTGCAGGCCAGGGGGGCTTCCCATGGGATCCGGAGGACAGCTCCGAGACCCACAGCGCGGCTCCCGGGCCCGGCGCCGATCCGAGAAGTTGGCGCGGAGCTCCATGGAGTTCCGTCCCGCGCTTGCCGTGCTCGGTTCCCCCTCTCCTTGGCCCCGGCCTCTCTCCAGGCCGCGCGGGGGGTCCCGCGCGCCGGGGAGGGGGGGGGGCTCCGAGAGGCCCCCGCAGGGGGGGCCGCGCAGGCGGGGGCTCCGAGAGGCCCGGCTCCGCGAGGGCCGCGCGGGAGCACGGAGCTTTGGGCCGGGCTCGGGGCTTTGGCCTCGGGCCGGGCGTCCCGAGGGGCGCCGCTGCGGGGGGCCTCGGCCGAGCGTGCGGAGGGGCTCGCCACGCACGGGGCCACCCACCGCCCAAGCCGGAGGCCTCGGTCTGGCCTCCATGTCCACTGGGGGCTGGTCGGGGAACGTTGAAAAAGCACATGGAACCCGTACCCCCCCCAGCCCGAACTTCGGGTCAAATTCAGGTCTTCGGGTTGGGTTGGGGTGGTCTGCTAGGTGGTCTTAAGTCGGGCCTGTCCCTCTACAGGAGGAATATCCAAAAATAGTCAGAACATTGTCTGGGGACTATTTTTATGTTTTCCGACTATTTGGAAGTATTGTTTTAGTCTTTTTGGTTTAATCGCTTCGCTCATTCCGCCGGCCCTGGAGCGCTATTTGGGGCCTCTTGGGGCCGTCTTGGGGGCCTCTTGGGGGCTTCTTGGGAGCGTCTTGGGGCTCCTTGGCGGCGTCTTGGGCTCCCCTGGGGCCTCTTGTGGGGCTCTTGGGGGCCCCTCTGGGCGGGAGGGGGGGTAGTCGATCGCAGCCACCCCGTCGGAGGCCACGATCCTCGTGAGGGGTGGCGAAAAATAGCCTCCCCCCTGGGGATCGCCCGGGACCCGGCTGGGACCCAGTCGGGGGTCAGCCTTTTTTTAAATATTATTTGGAAGTATTTTTTGAGTTTTTGTTTTTAATTTTCCGCCCGAAATCTGGGTTGCGGGGCGCGCGCTCAGCGTCGGACGGGTTTTGTTGGAATCGATCCCGATCCCTCTCCCCAATCCCGTCCCCATCCCCAGAGGAGGAACAAGTACCGATGCCACTGCCAGTGCCTCGTCTTCCCCCTTTGGGGGGGGTCTCCGGGAAGGCCCCCGTCGCCACCGCTGGATCTCCCTGGAATTCTGGAGGTCCAGGGAGCAGCAGCATCGCTGCCCTTTGGTCTCCCCAGATCCCCAGCATGGAGGGTTTCTCCGAAGTGCTTTGGGCGACCGGGCTTCCTCATCCTCCTCCTCCTCCTCCTCCTCCTCCTCCTCCTCCTCCTCTTCCTCCTCCTCCCCCTCCTCCTCCTCCTCCTCTCCTCCTCCTCCTCCTCCTCCTCCGCCCTCCTCCTCCTCCTCCTCCTCCTCCTCCTCCTCCTCCTCCTCCTCGGGTCTCCTACGGCCCCGGGGGAAATCGTGCACCCGAGCATCCCACCACCCCCGTTGGGGATGTGCCCCTCGAAGCCCGGAGGGAGCAGCCCAACCATCCCCGTCCTCGGGCAGATCGGCCCGCAGGGCCCAGGCCACGCCAGTGGGGATAGGGACACGATCGCCATCGCGCTCCGCGCGCCTGCCCGATGGGCACCTCTGCAGACCGACGCTGTCCTCGCGTCGCCGGCGTCGTCTTCGTCGCCGTCGCCGTCGTCGTCGTCGTCGCCGTCGTCGCCGTCGCCGTCGCCGTCGCCGTCGCCGTCGTCGTCGTCGTCGTCGCTGCCGCCGAAGCGATGCTCACGGCGATGCGCCTCGGCCGCATGCCCTTTTCCGTGGCCGACCAGCGCAGACCGCCGCGAGCGCGCGCCTCCCGCTCGGCTCGACTGGATCCAGCATTAAGTCGGGCCTGTACCTCTACAGGAGGATCTGCGCTGGGCGCCTCTGGCGCCGCCGCTGGCGCGCTCCGCGCGCCAGGGAAGAGGGTCCAGCGCAGATCCAAGCAATCTGCGCAGAGCGCCGAAAGTTTACATGTTTATGCCTTCCCTCTTCTATTCTCGGCGAGGGTCATCGAGAAACATCTTGGATCATCCTGCGATAACTACACGCGCGGGATCGACAAATGCACGGGGGATTGACGTCCGCGCGATGGCGAGGATATGGGCGTGTTGCCCCGCTCAGCTCCGTCGACAGCACGCAGCCCGCGCGGGCCTGCATTGGCTGCACCACCCGCGTCGCATGGGAGGGTTTCCGTGGACGAATTTTCTTGAGTCCGGCAGCAGGAGGAGGAGGAGGAGGAGGAGGAGGAGGAGGAGGAGGAGGAGGAGCAGGAGGAGGAGGAGGAGGAGGAGGAGGAGGAGGGAGGGGAGGAGGGGAGGAGGGAGGAGGAGGAGGATGAGAGGAGGCAGGAGAGGAGGAGGAGGAGGCAGGAGCAGGAGGAGGCGGAAGGAGGAGGAGAAGAAGGAGGAGGAGAAGGAGGAGGAGGAGGAGGAAGAGGAGGAGGACGAGGAGGAGGAGGAGGAGGAGGAGGAGGAAGGAGGAGGATGAGGAGGAGGAGGCGGAGGAGTAGGAAGAGGTGGAGGAGGAGGAGGAGGAGGAGGAGGAGGAGGAGGAGGAGGAGGGAGGAGGAGGCAGGAGGAGGAGGAGGAGGAGGAGGAAAAGGAGGAGGGAGAGGAGGAGGAGGAGAGGAGAGGAGGGGGAGGAGGACGAGGAGGAGGACGAGGAGGAGGAGGAGGGAGGAAGGAGGAGGAGGGAGGAGGAGGAGCAGGAGGAGGAGGAGGGAGGAAGGAGGAGGATGAGAAGAAGGAGGAGGAGGAGGAGGAGGAGGAGGAGGGAGGAAGGAGGAGGAGGAAGGAGGAGGAGGAGGAGGAGGAGGGAGGAAGGAGGAGGAGGAGGAGGCGGAGGAGGAGGAAGAGGAGGAGGAGGAGGAGGGAGGAACGAGGAGGAGGCGAATGGGGGGAGGGTGGACCGACGATTGCCCTGGCGTGGCTCGCCGCGGGGCAATACCCTGCATGCCGTAGAATTCAAGCTGCGCTCCAGCGCGCTGTAGAGGCCTGCGCTTTTGGCGGGGCGCCCCCTCCCGGCCCCTTGCGAGGGAGGTGGCGAAGACAGAGTCTGGACAGAAGCGAGCGCGCGTTTTGAAAGGCAAACAGAAGCTGCCCCATGTGATCGTCTTCTTATTCTCGAAGGAACAATGCCATGAACATAAACTTTTGGTGCTCCGCGCGGATTTCCTGGATCCGCGCTGGGCCCCCCTAGCGGCGCTGGAGGCGCCGCTCGGCGCGGGCCTTCGCACCCCACCCCCTCCCCCCCCATTGAGTAGATCTTGGCTGCTTTTGGCGCCTGCTTCGAGCAGGTGGAGTCTCCCCCATAGGACGCAGTGTTGCAAACAGTCGCGTTAAGAGGTCCTGAGCCAGACCCCCCACCCTCCCCCCCCATCCGCCCAATGTCGAAACGTCAAAAAAGAAAACGCTCCCCCCCCCTTTCCGCCTCCCATACGCCCTTCTCCGCTGCGCGGAGCAGAGATTCTGTAGTAGATGGACCTGAAGAGTACGGGTTGAGAGAGGGCAGACCTCACAAACCAGAAAATGCATTTCCAGAGGATCTATTCTAGACGCGTCGCGTTATTAACCTCACCAGCCCATCCAGAAACGATGCCCAGACGAGCTGCCCTGAGCAGGGATACGGAGGATAATGCAGTGGAATAATGGGCTGGGTAAGACGTCGTACACCTAAGAGGGGTAGGAGGGAGGAGGAATCGGAAGAGGAGCAGGATGAGCAGGAGGAGGAGGAGGAGGAGGAGGAGGAGGAGGGGTAGGATGAGGAGGGAGACGGGGAGGAGAGAGGAGAGAGGAGGGAGGAGGATGAACAGACGGATGAGAAAGAGCAGGAGGTGGTGGAAGAGGAGGAGCAGGAGGGCGAGCAGAAAGGCCAGAGGCCTTTTGGATGTCTCTCGGAGTCTTTTCGGAGTTCTTTTAGGAGTTTCTTGGAGTCCTCTTTGGGCGTCTTGGGGCTCTTTTGGTAGTCCCCAGGGCCTCTTGGGGCGTCTTGGGTGCCTCTGGGGGGCCTCCTGGGGCGCCTAGGTCTCTTGGGAACCTACTGGTGGCATCTTGGGGGCCTCTTGGGGCCTCCTGGGTACCTCTTGGGGCCGTTTTGGGGCACCCTGAGGCTTCGGGGGGCCAATCTTGGGGCCATCTTGGAGGAGACCAAAACCTTGGTACAATCGATGATTTTGGCTTCTGCGCCGAGTCCATCTTGGACGCTGGAGTCCTCGCGAAACGCCCAGTCCAGACCCAGGGGGAGGGGGGAGGGGGAGGGGTCAAGACACCCTCCCCGCCCGCAAGCTGTCTCGCTCACTCCCACCCGCCCTCCCAACACAGTGGCACCCGGGCCTCAGCATGTTCAGCGGTCGTCTTTGGATGAACAGCCAATGGTAACGACAACAGATCCCACGTGCGCAACGCTAGAGCGAGGGGCGCCGCGTGTGCCAGGCACCCCTGCGGCCCAAGTGTGCCAGGCACCATGTGTGCCGCATGCTCCAGCCACGCGTACGCAGCAGTACACGTCGGGAAGCGTGTCGGCCCCCACATGCCCTTGTCGAATACGAGTGCGCAATCGCGGCGGGGTGGCCATCATGCGGTTGAAAGAAACAAGTTTGCACCACCTGGGCGGCACGACAACTGATGATACGACCCCCGCCCCCGGCCTTCACATTGAGAGCGGACGCGCACGCTGAAATGGGATGTATCTGTATGTTTTCGAAGGGCCCCAGGAGATGTCACAACTATCAATCTTAAAGTCGGGGGCGCGGGGGAGCAGCAGTGCCATCCGATTCGCGGCTCAACCCGACATGGTGCAAACAGTTTCCTTTTCAACAGTCTCGTATGGTGGGCCTGCACACAGCAGGCAATAATTACGCCAGCACCCCGCCGCCCCAGCCAACAAAAACAGTGCACGGTGATCGCGGGGTGCCCGCACACGATCCACATGTTGCCTCGAAGTGCAGTTTGTGGTGTTTCTGTTGCGCGGGATGCTGGCCCTGCGCGCAGCAGGACATGTGCGGGCACCCCCGTCGCCCATGTCAAAAGACCATACAAAGTGCTCGCGGCCCCCCTTGATCATGACCAGAGATTTTGCCCCAAAGTGGACTTCAATGTTTTGTTGAAAGGGATGGTGGGGGAGGGACCCTCATTGGTCCTGGTTGGCTGCCGGTCGCCTGGGGGAGGGGATGTTCATTCATAGGGAACAGTGATAAACTCCTCCCCTGAGGGGAAGAAGGGAGGTTGGAAGACAAAATGCTCAAAACCACTCACGCCCAGAGGGCTGGTTGGATTTTCCCCCCCTGTCCTTCCTCAGCATGGCGAAGGCGGCGACGCTAGCTCGATGCCAGCAGCCTAAGCAGTCGCAGAGCTTGGCCAAGACGATCATGTCTCCCCTGCCCGGGCGGTAGCTCAGATTGCCTTGTGATAGACAAGACTTGCACTAGCTGACTCGCATATGTTTACGCAGCTTAGGTAGGCAAAGCCTGGTTTTGCGCAGGGCGGCGTGACGATCTGCAGCCTAGTCTAGCCTAACCTAGCCTAGCCTAGCCTAGCCTATCTCAGCTCAGTTTGCTGTCCTTCGTTATTGCTACACCTCGGGTCTAAGCACAACTATGTGTGTTGAGTGCACGTTGGCCAGATTCATTTTCAAGTAGCGATCTGCCATACAGGTGCCATCGCACGGGGAAGCATGGTGCTACTCGAGCACTGCGGGCCTGGCAGACGCTTCTGGCGAATGGCCGATGATGGAGGTTCTCCCTTCCTCTCCCCTTCCCCGTCCTTCCCCCCTCCCCCCGTCCCCTCCCGTTCCCCGTTAATCCACACTGAGCGACGCGGAACCTTGGAATCGACTTCGCGGACACTCGCGCCCAAGCTGTCCGCGTAAGATCGCGCTCAAGTGCCGCCTCCTCCGCGCGGCATGCCACGCCGGCGGCCTTGCGTGAGCAGCAGTGCAGGGCCGCCGTGCCGTCGATCGTACTGATGCCCCCGCTTCTGTCGCCGCTCGGCGCTCCCGCGATCCCTCCTCGACCGTTTCGGCCTCAGCAGCGCGACCATGGGTGCGGGGGCGCTGCGCAGGGGGGCCGCTGTGGCGCTGGCGCAGGCGCCAGAAGAGCAGCTGGAGGAGCTTGCGCGAGCGCTGCCGCCCGACGTGCGAGAGAAGGTCCTGGGCACCCTCTTGCAGATGCAGGCTGCGTCCGAACTCCCCGCCAAGGTTGGGAACACCCTGAGAGAGTGTGGAGGCAACATGTATCGAAGACGCTTGCAGCGAAACACCACCGCCACCTACCTTTTGGACACGCTCACGCGGCCAAGCGTTGGGCCAAGCTTTTGGACTATGTCTTCCCCCAACCGTTGCGGAACCCTTTTGGGGAACACTTGGGGCAAGAGAGGAAGGAGAAGCAGGAGGAGGAGGAGGAGGAGGAGGAGGAGGAGGAGGGGGAGGTGGACGAAGAAGAAGAGGAGGCCTCTTGAGGCTTTCTTGGGGCCACCCGGGGACTTCCTGAGAGCCTCTCAGGGAACCTCTGAGGCGCCTCCTCGGGGCCTTCTGGCTTTCGGAGGCCGTCTCGGGACCCTCTCTGGGCAGTCTTGGGTTCTTGTTTTGGCGCTTTCAGGCCGTCTTGGAGGTTTGGGGAGGCCGTCTTGGCGGCCTCTTGCTTTGGTCGCCTTGGGGCCTTCTTGGGCTGCCTTGCGGGCCTTTTGGGGGCCCTTGGGCCGTCTCGGGGCGATCTTTGTGGCCCATGGGGCCGTCGTGGAGCGTCAGAAGCCCGAAAGGGAGAGAACGCTAACATCATCAACAAACCAATTGGAAATCGATGACTTGGGCCTCCTGGAGGTCCTCTCGGAGGCCATCTTGGGGCGCTTGGAGGGGGATTTGGGGCCGTCGTCTACGGGCCACGTTGGCCGTCTTGGAGGCGTCTTGGGACCGTCTTCCCAGACCCCCGCGGGTCGCGACGTCGTGATTTTTCAACAGCGTCGACCCCCAGAGGTCTGGACCCCTTCCCCCGGGACCGGTTTTTCATCCCGAGTCGTTTTTGGCGGCCCCCAGGCTCGGGAAGGGCCCGCGGAGGCCGCGCACAGCGAAGAGCCTCCCGTCGTGACTGTCCCGTCACGGCGCGAGGCGGTCCGGGTCGGAGGCCCTCTTTTGGGCCCCCCCGGGCCGTCCCGGAGGCAGCTTCCACAGAGGCCCTCTCTCGGGCCGCCGGGGCCCCGCCGCCTCGGGCCGAGGCCCCACAGGAACCCCAACCGAGAGCCGCGTGAGAGATCGGCGGCGGGCGGCGCCCGCCGCCGACCTCGATGGCGGGCCTCGCCCGCGGGGGCGATAGGGGGGGGGAAGCTGGGAGGGAGAGGGCCTCGCCCGCCGCTCTTCTCCTTCTCATTTCCCCCCCTCGCCCGCCGCCGATCTGTAACGGACCTCGCCTCGCCCGCCGATCCTTCTCTCTTTCTCGGAGTGCGGCGGGGCTGGTCAGAAGGCTTCCTGTTTTGAGAGGTTTCCCCTGTCGTCGGAGAAGGCTCCGAAGACCTTTCAGAAGACTGGGAGGCTTCCGAGCCTTCTGCGAAGGCCCGTCCCTTCTCACTTCCCCCCCGAGCTGGCCGCCGAAAGGTAGACAAAAACCATTCAGAACTTCAGCACGCCGTGCATTCCTGTGGCCAGCCAGCAGGGGGCGGCGGATCGAAAACGCCTATACCGCGAAGCACCGCCGCCCCCCTTGCCTTCGGGAATCGCCCACGCGGCCAAGCGTTGGGGCCGAAATCTGGACAAGCTATTGGACCATGTGTTCGGCTGGCCGTTGTGGAACCCCTCGGGGGGCACTTGAGAGAGGAAGGGACAGGAGGAGGAGAGGGAGGAGAAGGTGGATGAGGAGAGAACGAGGAGGATAATAATAATAATAACAACAATGATAAGGAGATTAATCATGAGAAGAATAAGAAGAATAATAGCAATAATAATTCGAATAACAATAACAATAAGAAGAAGACGAGAAGGCCTCTTGAGGATCTCTTGGGGCATCCGAGGGGTCTTTTGGGGGACTCCTGGGGGCTCTTGGGGGCCTCCTGAGGTCTCTTGAGGGCCTCTTGGAGGCCTTTGGGAGGCTTCAGTGGACCTCTTGGCCTTCGAAGGCTGTCTTGGGGCCCTCTCTGTGCAGTCGTGGATCCATCTTTGGGCGCTTGAGGGCCGTCTTTGAGGTATGTGGGGCCTCCTTGGCGTTGTATTGAGGGGCTTCTGTGCCGTCTTGGGGCCCGATGTGGCCGTCTTGTGGGCCTCTTGGGGATCTCTTGGACCGTTTCGGGGCGATCTCGGGGGCCTATGGGGCCGTCTTGGAGCGTCGGAAACTTGAAAAAGGCAAGACCGTTAACACCGTTGAACAACCAATGGGAAATTAATGACTGGGGCCTCCTGGAGATCTCCTTGAAGGCCTCTTTGGGGATTGTTTTGGGCCATCTTGGGGCCATCTTGGGCCGTCTTGGGTGCACATTGGGCCGTCTTCGGTGCATCGTCTGGCGATCTTGGGCTCTCTGGGCCTCTTGGGGATCTGTTGGGCCGTCTTGGGGCGATATCGGGGCCTCTGGGGCCGTCTTGGAGCGTCGGAAGCCCGAAAAGGGAGAGAACGCTAACATCTTTGAACAATGGACAATCAATGACGTGGGCCTCCTGGAGGTCCTCTTGAAGGCCTCTTTGGGGGCCTCTTGGCCAGTGCTGGGCCATCTTGGGGCCGTCTTGGAGATATCTTGGGGACCGGCTTGGGAACTAATGCTCCGTATTGCATGCCGTCTTGCAATGTGGGACGCAGTTTAAGTAGTTTTCTGGGTGGCTGGCACGGTCGGCCGAGACCCTACTGGGAACGTTCAGAAAGGACCAGAACCATCCAACGTTTGGCACGCCGTGCACTCCCGTTGCAAGCCACGGGTGGCGGCGGACCCACGATGCCTACGGCGAAACATCGCCGCCCCTGACATTCTGGAATCGCCTATGTGGCCGAACGACGTTGCGGCCAGAGCTCCGCCAAGCTAGCAGACTACTTCCCCAGTCGTTGTGGAAACCCTTGGGGGAACATGTGGGGGAGGAAGGAGAGGAAGAGAGGGAAGAAAATGGAGGAGGAGGAGGAGGAGGAGGAGGCGGATAAGGCCTCTTGGGAGCCTCTTGGGGCACTCTTGGGGCCTCCTGGGGGCTTCCTGGGGGCCTCTTGAAGGTCTCTTAGGGACTTCGATTGGCCTCTTGAGGGCCTTTGGAGTCTCCTTGGGAGGTCTTTGGCTGTCTGAGGGTGTTCCTGGCCCGTCTGACGCCGTCGGAAACCGTCTTAGGTTTTTGTTCCGGGCCGACTTGACGCACTCCTCGGGCGCTTCAGGGCCGTCTTGGAGGCCATCTTGGGCGTCTTGGAGGTCTCCTGAGCGTTCTTGGGGCCCTCTTAGGGGCCGTCTTGGAGGCCTCTCGGGCCTTCTGGGGACCATCTCGGAGGTCTCTTGGGTGCTTCTGGGGACATGTTGGTGCCCTCTGGGGCCGTCGTGGGCCGTTGGAAAGCCGAACGTGAGCAAATGCCAAAATCCTCCAACGCAACACCTGAGGAACAGTAATCAATGAGTTGGGCCTTTTCGGGCCTTCCTGGAGGTCCTCTTGGAGGCCTCTTGGGCCGACCTCTTGGACCGTCTTGGGGCGCCCCTGGTTCCAAGCAGGTTTGCGGGACAAGTTGCGGGAAATCGCGGGAGGCACGCCAGGAAATCCATAAAAGTTGAGGATTCGGGGTCTCGGGCCCCTTGCTATTCAATCCTGAGGACTGGGGACTGAGGACCACAATGAAGTCGGGCATGTCCCTCTACAGGAGGAGTATGCAAGAGTGGTAAAAATAGTCTAGGGGCGATTGTTCGTACTTGTTCGACTATTGTTGACCATGGTTTGACTAGTTTCTGTTGTTCTTTCAACATCCGCCTGTAGGAGGACATGCCCGACCTAAGACTACAAGGGATCTAAGGGCACTCCAACTCGTGCCTCGCGGCTACGGTGGCGGATCTCGTATTTCGTTACGCTTACGGCAGGCAGCTCCCGCTGGAGGCAGTGGCTGCCGCTGGCCGCGAGGTGCTGAAAAAGTTCACTCGAGAGGCTTGCGCTATTCCCGCCGACCCCATAGAGGAGGGAAGAGAAGTCCACGGGTGAGGCCTTCTGTGGGGTCTCTCGGGGGCCCTCGGGGGGCCTCTTTTGGGCCTCTTGGGGGCATCTTCGGGCCTGTGGGAAGGTTTCTCGGGCGCCTGCTGGCGGTCTCGGGGGGTCCTCTTGGGGCGGAGGGCTCGGGATGCCCGTTCGAGTTGCTTCTCTTGGGCTTCTCTTGGGGCCCTACTGGGGCCCTCTGGGGCCATCTTAGACGCCTCTTGGGCCATCTTGGGACCATCTTCGGCCGTCTTGGGGCCTTCTTGGGGGCTTCTTGGGCCGTTTTGGAGCGATATTATGCCGTCTTGGAGACAACAAATGCGAATGTATTCCAATGGGATTGGGACGATTTTTGCTTCTTGGGGTCCTCCTTGGGGTCGTCTTGGAGCCCTCTTGGGGCGTATTTGAGGCATCTTAGGCAGTCTGAGTCCCTCCTGGCCGTTTTTGAAGCCTTCTCGGCGTCTTGGAGCACAGCTTGAGCCAGCTGAGAGGGCATCTTGGGCATTCCTGAGGTCACGAAGTGTCGTTTTGTAAGCTAGCTCCAGAGGCCATGCGTTGGCGAGCTCCCCGTCCCACCTCCCCCCCCCACTCCGACGCATTTTTGGACCACTGGAGACGGGGGAAGAGGGGGACGGGGGCAGCCAAATGTCGCACACGCCTTGTCACCACCCGCAAGCCGGGGTCGGCGGACAAATTTCCAGCCCGCGTCCGGGGAAGATGTGTTCTTGGTACGCGAAGCTGCTGGAGAAGCTCCTGTTGGCCCTCGCGTTGTTGACCCTGTGAAGCCATTTTGGGCGGTTCTTTCTCCCGGGGAAGACGGGACTTCTACCATTACGGTCATTGTCTCCCACCAGGAGGCTGATGCTTTCTCGCTTGCTGCTTTTGTTCAGGCGTGGGCCAGCCAGTACTCTGGAGAGCCCTTTCCAGAGCCCGCATACGATTACATGGGTGTCGAAGACTTGCTGGACACCACCATCTCGCCAGAGATTCCAAAAGATGCGGGCTTCATGTCCGCGGCTGATTTCAAGTTAAACGGACCGCCTATACTCGGCGTCGGCGCGCGTGTGGATCTTTCACGGGGTATGCTTGATCCCTTGCGCAAGAGGATGGTTGCCGCAGCTGGTGCAAACTCTGCAGCTGACTTCTCTCTGAACACATTCCGCATGGCCCTTGTATGGAAGGCGTTTGTGACAGCCCGCAAGGCCGATAAAGATGAGACAACGTGGCTCTGTTGGGCTTTGAATGTGCGCAAACGTGTGCCCATCTCGGAGCAATACATAGGAAATGGTGCGATCAATTCCCCAATTGTGCCAATGAGAGTTGAGGACTTGATTAACCTGCCCTTGGTTCAGTTGGCGCAATTGTTGCACAAGGCCGTCAATGCTTCTGTCACAAGCGAGTCTATTATGTTCACCATGAGCAAGATAAAAGCTCACCTGGCTACAGTTGGCCCTGTCATCCCACGTCAACGGCTGGGAATGCTCAACCCAAATCAATGCAGCATTCTATACTCCGATTGGAGCGGCTTCGATCTGAATCCCGCTTTTGAGGGCTCCAAGGCAGACAGGGTGGTGCACATGTTCGGTGAAGGGAAGCCGTGCCCCACTGGGATCGCCGCGAACAATCCCGACGGGCTCTACATTGGCCTGATGCCGGAGGAGGTGGAGGACTTCAGACTCGCCGTCAGCAGTATTTTGGCGTAGACCAGACGCGCACCCAACATGTGTCGCCGCGCCGTTTGTTCCGACGCGCGGCCCTACGCTTGATCAGGGGAGGACGCCGCGGGCACCAGGGCAAACCCCGCCTTGGACGCAGGGTTTGCAGTGAGGTTTGCCGCGGCGCCGGCTTCGTCTGCTTGGGCACGTTCAAAACAAACGGTGCGGCGATATGTCTGAAGGGCTGCAACTTGCGCCGCCGTCCTCCCGGGCGGAGCCAGCTTCGGAGCATCTTGAGATTGCCATGGGGCTTTCTTGGAGCGCTGTTAAGCCATCTGGGAGGCTCTCGAGGGAATCTTGGGGCCTCTTGAGTCGGGCCATCTCGAATGCTATCATTAGGTAATTTGCGGGGCTGTCTGTGGGCGTCTTGGGGATTCGGGCACCCTGGGGACGACTTGGAACATGGTTGGCCAATCTTCGGCGATGTTGGCATCTTGGGGCATGTGGAGCTTCAATTGAAGCCATCTTGGGCGATCTGAGCGCCGTCTTGACGCCATAATGTGACATTATGTGGGGAAGCCTGATGGTTTACAGAACGTATCGGAAGTCTTTTTAGGTTTCCCTCGATGTGATGCCTTCGTGGAGCGCTTTGGGGCCCTCGGGATGTTTTGGGGGCCGTTTTGGACCGACCTGGCGGCGCTCTGAGGCTATCGTGGGCCGTCCTGGACTCTATGGGCTTTCTTTGGGCGCGTCTGGGCGCGGGGCCTCTGAGGACCTTCGGACCCTCTTGGCCGTCTGGTGGCGTCCCTGTGGAAGTCTTGGAGTAACGCGGAGTGGCCAGGAGGCCGAGGAAAACGCGCGCGCACGCGCACGCAGGCAGCTTGTGAGGACGCCGTGGGCCCCCTCCCCCGAGAGAGGGGGCAGGGTTGGAGAGACGCGAGAGGCGGCGGAGGCGCAGCGGGGGATCCCCGGGGACGGGCCTTCTCAGAAGTCTCTGAAGGCCTCCCGCCTCCCGAGTGGCTCCCTGAGCCTCCGCCGAGGGCACAGAACCCACAGATCCAACGCGTTGAAGAAATCAAGACGGAGGTTTTCCGCACTGTTCCGCCTCCAGGGGCCCTCGCCGGGCCCCAGGACCGTCAAAAAACTAAGGATGAGAAACTGGTCCTGGGGAATCGGCCGAGACTTCCGGGGACCCCGCATTGAGAAAACCACGACGTCGGAACTCCGGGAATGCTTCCTCAGAAGGCCGGGGGGCTTCTGAGAAGCCCCGCCGCCGTCCGAGAAGGCCTGCCCCCTCGCACTTCTCCCCTGGGCTCGCCGCCAAGCGAGGAGGAAGACGGCGCAGAGGAGGGCGACAGGGGACGCCCGCAAGACAGCAGCCCGGCAGGTCGTCTCGCAACCCTCGGCGGGCGGAGTTCGACCGCCGATGTCCCCAACCCAGCTCACGCCGTGCAACAAACTTTTCAAGTTCGCGGGCGCCACGCGGTCTCAGCAGTCAGTCGCGGGTCAGCAAGCGGTGGAGTGCACCGAGAGCGAATTTTGAGGCACGAAGGCGAGAAGGAGCAGATCGTGAACCAATCACGACGGGAGGATTTCGGCTATTTTGGGCTGCTGGGGGCCCCTCGCCAGGCCTCGGCGCCGTAACACAAATAATTCGGGATGAAAACCAGCCCTGGGGGATGGGCCGCGTATTGAACAAATCAAGACATCGCGTGTCTGGATTGTGAAGGCCTGACGGCCGGTGCCGCCGACCCTGAAAGACATCGACGACGACCAGGAGGGGGAGGAGGAGGAGAAGGAGGAGGAGAAGGAGGAGGAGGAGGAGGCAGAGATGAGGAGGAGGATGAGGAAAAGGACTCCCCCCTGGGCCCCGGAGGAGGGCTGGCGTGGGAGAGGGGAGGGAAGGGGAAGGAGGACCCCCAGGGACGGATGCGTATCTGATTCCTTCCCCCCCTGGGACTTTTCCCCACCTGGGGAGGAGGTCCCGAGGAGGACCGGCGCGCCGGAGAAGGACTGGCGTGGGAGAGGAGGACCCCCAGAGGCGATGCGAATCGGACCCCCCCCTGCCAGGGAAGGGGCTTCCCCTCGACGTAATGAGGGCGTGGATGGAATTCCCTCAAGCTGCGAATCCGTTCCCCGAACGAGGACGGGTGCTCCTTCTCTCTCTCACTCTCTCTCTCTCTCTCTCTCTCTCTCTCCCCCGACGGGACAGGAGGATGGGAAGGAGGGGGCGAATGAAGGCTCCCCGTCGACGGGACCGGACAGACACCCCACACACGCCGACAGGGTCGGCGGATTTACAATTTGCTGTCTTCTTCACAATTTCCGAAAATCTTCGTGCCCTTATTCGCTGCGGCTGTTGGCGGCCATCTGCGAGTAAGGGGGGTCACCCCACATGTGCAGGGCAGAGGTTTACTTAGCCGTTTCTTTCCCCCGAACTTGACTTGCCTTTTACTATCTGCCTTAGCAGCTCCTTCACAGCAGGTGCCCCCGAACGGTGTCCTTCCCGTGAGCCTCGCCAGCGTGCGGGCTCGTTTCCAGTGTATTTCGCGTTGCCAGCGTTCTAGCCAGGAGGTTCATTGCCGGTTCGGCTCTGGCGCACATCGCAATGCCAGCGATTTCCGCTCGTGTTGGCTCGCTTCTGGTGAATTTCGCGTTGCCAGCGCTCGTGGAAGCTGGTGTTCGGGGAGTTCATTCTAAGCGTGCTAACTCGCGCGCGACAGCAGATGGGGCCCGAAGCGAAGTCGGCGGGAAGGTCGCTTCTTTGAGCGTGCCGGCCTGCTGGCGGCTTTGGTGCATTTCACTTTGCCAGCGTTTTACCCAGCCAGAAGCTCACTCAAAGCGTGCTGGCTGGGTCTTGCCGCACATCGCGTTGCCAGCGTTTTAGGCTGGAAGTTCACTCCGAGCGTGATGGCCCGTTCCTGGTGAACTTCAAGCGTGCCAGCTCGGTTTCGCGCACTTCGTGTGGCATCGCGCGTTGTAGCCAGGAAGCTCACTCAAAACGCGCACGCTCCGTCCCGGCGCACCTTGCATTGCCAGCGCTGTTGGTTGGAAGCCGAGCGTACCGGCGTGCTTCTGGTGAATTCCGCGTCGCCAGCCTTGTTGGATTTCAAGTGCCAGGAAGTTGAGCTTGAGCGTGCTGGCTTGCTCCCGTCGGCACGTGGGGTTGAGAGCGAAGGCAGCAGTAACCTCATGAGGAGCGTGCTGACTCGCTTCCGGTGCACTTCTCGCTGCCAGCTAGCCAGAAAATTAATCCCAAGAGTGCTAGGGTGATGTTCTGGCGTACCTCGCGTTGCCAGCGCTGTCGGCTAGAAGTTCATTCCGAGCGTGCCAGCTCGTTTCTGGTGACCGTCGCGCTGCCAGCGCTCTTAGGAACTGGTTTCCGGCAAGACCATTCCGAGCATGCTGGCTCGCTCACGGCAGCAGGAGCGTGCCGTTTCGCTTCCGGTTCACGTCGCGCTGCCATCATGGTAGCCAGGAGGTTCGCTCAACGCATTCGGGCTCCATCCCAGCGCACATCCTGTTGCCAGCGTTGTCGGTTGGTCGCTGCTGGCGCGTGCCGTCCGCAGGTGGGGTTGAGAGCAAAGGCTGCGAAAAGTTCACCTCGAGCGTGATGGCCCGCTCCTGGTGAGCTTCTCTCTGCCAGCGCTCTGGCCTGGAAGCTCAATCCAAGCGCGCCTGCTCGCTTTTGGCGCATCGCGTGGCCAGCGTTGTCACGGCGTTGTCGGTTGGAAGTTCTCCGCAAGCGTGCCAGATCGTTTGCACTTCGCGTTGCCAGCGGTGCTGCCGAAAATCGTGCCAGGAAGCGCACCGCAGGCGTGCCAGCTTGCGTCTGGCGGTCATCCTGCTGCCAGCGCTGCTGACCACACGTTCCAACCCAGGCGTGCTGGTTGGCTGGTTCGCCTCTGGCGCACATGGCCTGGATGGCTGCTGCTGCTGCTGCTGCTGCTGGCTCCCTCACCACAGGTGCCTTGGGCCAGGTGCCCCTCCCGTGCCCCTCCCGTGGGCCCCGCGAACGCGCCGCATCGCCCCTGGGACGCTTCGCGCCGCCAGCGCTCTCATAGCCAGGATGCTCACCCCACGGCGTGCCGGCTCCGCGCTGCCGCGCCTGCCGGCGCTGCCGGCGGGAAGCCGATGCTAGGCGTGCAGGTTCTCTTCCGGTGAGCGTCGCGCTGCCGGCCCTGCTGCCAGGAAGCCCACCCCCAATCGGAGGGGGGCGCTGCGACGCCAACACCACCAGGGGGGGCCACCTCCAGCGAGGAGGTCCACGATGCTTCCCCGAGCTGGAGGCAAGGGAGGTCTCGAGAGCGAGAGGGGGAAACCACGCCACCAGGGAGACCCCCTTGCTCCTCGCATCTCCTCGCCCTGGTGGTGTTGGTGTCGCCTTCTCCTGCTCCTGCCCAGCGCGTGCCGGCAGGAGCGGCCACGGCCCGCAGTCGGCGGGCGCCCGCGAGGCCTCCTCTCCCATGCGCTCGGTCAGTCCCGGTGTCGCCTCGCTGCCCCCAGACGCTCCCGAGCTCATATTGGGCACGTGGGAGGTCGAGGCCCGCCGCTGTGCCAGCAGCGGGGCGCGCCGCGGCGGCAGACGGAGCACCCTCACGAAGAACAGCTTGAGCCCCTGGCGGGTGCGGAGGCGAAGCGGGAGGGGCAGACGCCAGCAGGCGTGGTGAGGCTTGCTGTCTCTCTCTCTTTCCACCCTCTGCGCGTGCCAAGCCCTCCTGGGGCCTTCCTGGGGTGACCTCGGGGGCTTCTCGGGTTTTTTGGTTGGACGCGCACGTGAAACTCACACAACCGTGCAAGGTTTTTCGGTGCTCTGGGGGCCGCCTGGGCCAGCCCCTCTGGGGCTTGCGTCGGCGTCGGATGTCGACCCTCGACGCCTGCAAGAGCCGTAGACGCGCCAACGGTGTGTTGGCTACTGGCGATGTAGGAAAACCAATTCTAGGAAAGCGTGGTTCGTGGCCAAACTGCTTGTAGGAACGCGTGGTCCGTGTTTCCCTACAACTGATTGTGTCGTTCTCGTTCGATACAGTCGCATATTTGAAACGCAGGAAACGGTGTTTCGTGATGTCCTACATGCTGTTCAACGTGAGCTCGGTATCACAAAAACCATCTTCCCAACCGCACCCTTAACCAAGCACGCCGTTAGCGCGGCCTTGGAAGAGCCAGCGCACTGTGGGAGTTCGATCCTGGCGCGGACCATCTTGCACACCTCCTGGTCGAACGGACATACTGCGATAGCTCGGGGCCCTTAGTCGGCCGCCTCTCTCGCGCTGCACTTCGGCCCTTTTTGTTCGGGGTGTTGGTCGAGTCGGCGATGAGCCACGCATCGACGCTCAGGAAGGAGCTCGGCGCAATGGGAAGGGACGGGCGGGAGGGCCAGGGTGTCGGACATGGCGCGGGCGCGCCCCCTTCTCCCCTCCCCCGCCTGTTCTGGCCACCGCGCGTCGGCGCGGTCCTCAGGCGTCCACGTGCCAAGCTTTCCCGAGCCTCCCGTTCCTCTGCGCGGAGCGGCACGCTGTCCAGAAGTTCCCGACCGTGTGAAGGGGGCCAGGGTGCACTCGCGTGCGGAGCTCCTGCTATTGGCAGCAGCCGCCCCCCGCCCCTGCCACGACGAGGCGCAGCTCCGAGCGGGAGCGCGCGGGCGCTCCGAGTCGCGCGGGCCGCCGTCGTTGGCGTCGGCGTCTTCTTTGCGCGCTCCCGCTTCCTCCCTCCCTCCTCGCCTGGCCCACAGGGCGTCTCACGCGCGCGGTGGTGCCACTGCCCTCGAGGCGTGCGTGGTGCTGGCAGTGGGGCCTGAGCAAACCCCTCGCTCACATCCTCCCCGCCCGCATACCCGACGTGATGTTTTCACGGCGTGGACCCCAGGACGGTCTTGACCCCTTCCCAGGAAACTACCTGAAGTCGGTACCTGGAAAGAGGTTTTGCTGCATCTGGGTCTTCCTCCCCCTCCCCCTCCTCCTCCTCCTCCTCCTCCTCCTCCTCCTCCTCCTCCTCCTCCTCCTCCTCCTCTTCCTCCTCCTCCTCCTCCTCCTCCCCCTCCTCCTCATGCTCCTCCTCCTCCTCCTCCTCCTCCTCCTCCTCCTTCTCCTCCTCCTCCTCCTCTCCTCCTCCTCTCTCTCCTCCTCCTCCTCCTCCTCCTCCTCCTCCTCTCCTCCTCCTCTCCTCCTCCTCCTCCTCCTCCTCCTCCTCCTCCCTCCTCCTCCTCCTCCTCCTCCTCCCTCCTCCTCCTCCTCCTCCTCCCTCCTCCTCCCTCCTCCTCCTCCTCCTCCTCCTCCTCCTCCTCCTCCTCCCTCCTCCTCTCCTCCTCCTCCTCCCTCGCTCCCTCGCTCCTCCTCCCTCCTTCCCGCCCTCCCGCTCCCGCCCTCGCTCCCTCCCTCTCTCTCCTCCCTCCTTCTCCTCCTCCCTCGCTCCCTCCCGCCTTCCCTCCCTTCCTCCTCCTCCCTCCCCCTCCCCCTCCTCCTCCTCCTCCTCCTCCTCCTCTTTTCCATCTCTTTCTCGTCCTTCTCTGCCGAGGTGGCCGCGTCGGCTCAGGCCAGGGACCTGTCGCCCTCTCGACCGCCGGGCCCTCGCGAGATGCTGTGCTCGTCCTCCTCTCGGCCGGCCCGCGAGATGCCGCGCAGGTGCGGTCCCGTTGTGCTTCTTCGCGCGGCGCCCGTGCTCGGACCCCGTGGCCCCGAAGATGTGCACGGGCAAGTCGGTCCCTGCCCTTTCCCACTTGTAGGGGAGAAGAGGAGAGGGGAGGGGGAGGGGGAGGAGGAGGAGGAGGAGGAGGAGGAGGAGGAGGAGGAGGAGGAGGAGGAGGAGGAGGAGGAGGAGGAGGGGGAAGGGAAGGAAGAGTAGGAGGTTCGGGAGGATGATGAGGAGGACGAAAAGGAGGAGGGGGAAGGGAAGGAAGAGTAGGAGGTTCGGGAGGAGGAGGAGAAGGAGGAGGAGGGGAGATGATAGGAGAGGAGATGAGAGCAGGAGAGGAGAGGAGAGCAGAGCAGAGGAGAGCAGAGGAGAAGATGAAAAGGAGGAGGATGTTTGAGAGGAGGAAAGCATCAGAGCAAAGGGAGGGAAGTCTGAACGAGGTGTGTGTGTGTGTGTGTGTGTGAGTGTGTGTGTGTGTGTGTGTGCGTGTGTTTGTGTGCGTGTGTTTGTGTGCGTGTGGTCTTAAAGCCCTGCAGGACGCAGCAGCGCGAGACAGTCGAGGGGCGGCGCCATGATTTCTGAGGAGCGCAAGGCCCGGATGGAGTCGCAGGGCTGGAAGGTCGTCGGTGGCCACTCGGCCACGAAGCTGTGCCGCTGGACGAAGTCCATGCTGCAGGGCCGCGGCGGGTGCTACAAGCACACGTTCTACGGCATCAACTCGCACCAGTGCATGGAGCACACTCCCAACGTCTCCTGCGCCAACAAGTGCACGTTCTGCTGGCGCAACCACATCAATCCCGTGGCGCTCTCGTGGAAGTTCGACGTGGACGACCCCGAGGCCATCATCGAGGAGTCCCTCCGGAAGCACTACGGGATCATAGAGCAGCAGTGCCAGTCCCCCAACGCGCTGGAGCACCGCAAGGAGGAGGCGCGCCGCGTGAGGCACTGTGCCCTGTCCCTCGTCGGGGAGCCCGTGGCGTACCCGCGGGTCGCGGAGCTCCTGGCCGGCCTTCACCGCCGGAGGATCTCCACCTTCCTGGTCACGAACGGGCAGTTCCCGGCGGCGCTCCGGGCGCTCCCCCGGGTCACGCAGCTCTACGTGTCGTGCGACGGCACCGACCGGGAGTCCCTGCGTGCCGTCGGGCGCCCGCTGTTCCGCGACTTCTGGGAGCGGTACTCGGAGGCCCTGGGCATCCTGAGCCTCCGCCGCGAGCGCACGGTTTGCCGCCTCACGCTGCTGCGGGGCATCAACATGGAGGAGCCCGAGGCCATGGCGGAGCTGCTCGCGAAGGCCTCGCCGGACTTTGTGGAGCTCAAGGGTGCCACGCTGGCGCCCGTGTTCGACAAGAGCGGGCTGAACACGTACAACATGCCCACCTTCTTGGAGGTCAGGGCTTTCGCGGAGCACCTCGCTGGCCTGCTGCCGGAGTACGGCCTCGCTGCCGAGCACGAGCACTCGAATGGAGTGCTCTTGGCCTCCCGGCGCTTCTGCGTAGGAGGGCAGTGGAGGACACCTGGGGCGTCCAAGAGGGGGGTGTGAGGACCAGGGGCTGGGGCAACGACGTTTCTCACGCGTCATTGCCCTTTTCATCATCTTCTTACATTCTTCATAGTATGATTGTTATGTTTCTTCTTCTTTCTCCTCCTCCTCCTCCTCCTCCTCCTGCTTCCTCTTCTTTCAGTGCGGTCCGTGCCCCCTCCCCCACGGTCCGCGCGCACGCCTCGGGCCATGGAGTGGCGATCCCCCTCTTCCTGCTCCCCCCCCTCCTCGGCGCACTTGGGAGGACGTGGATCGACTTCGAGAAGTTCGCAGACCACTGGGACGACGATGCCCTCGGCGCCATGGACTACACGGCGCCCACCCCTGCGTGGGCTCTGTACGGGAGCTCGAGCCAGGGATTCTCGCCTGCAGAGTGCCGGAAGCAGCGGGCGCGGCCTCGTCCGCGGTATTCGGAGGAGAAGTGGCCCGCGTGGAGAGTGGAGGCTGCTGCGGCGCGCCGCACATCTGCTCTCGGTCAGCCCAGCGCCCCCCTGGACGATGGGCCTGCGAGCGCGGGATAAGAAACAGATGACGCAGGCCACGCGGGGTAGCAGCGAGTGACGATGGGTTGGTCGGCCAGCATGTGAGGTACGGAAGTTTCGTGTCGCACCGACGCGGCAGCGACCTCGCCGCAGGCGTTCAAGCTTGAACGCCGCCGGTGACCCAGAATCGGTCAATGTGGAGCGATCTGGAGATCGACAAGTCGCCGAGCGTTGAAGGTGGAACGATCCTCGCGGTGGCAGAGACCAGCGCTCGATCTTGCGGCATCCATGGCCCACGCCGCGGGGCCCCTCCAAGACCAGACCAGTCACGGCGATCGCAGCGAGCGGGGTCGGTCAGGAGGAAGGAGGACGCGGAGGATCAGAGGAGGAAGAGGCAGCCTTACCGCTACCCCCTTCCCTCGTGTTCGCCTTTTTGGGGGCCTCCTGGAGGGCCCTCGTCGCCACCGCTGGGTTCGCCTCGGAGCTCTGGTCAGAGGGAGAGGCCCGGGGAGCGGCGGCATCGGTACCTTTCTGTGGTTCCCCCCAGAGGTGGAGGAGGCGGAGGCGGAGAAGGTGGAGGACCAGCAGCACTGGGAGGAGAAGCGGGAGAGCGAGGGGCGACAGGCAAGCTAGGTGCCCTCGCGTCATATCTGGCGTCCTGCCCCCCCCCCCCCGTCCCATCCTGTACCGTGGCGTAGATCTCCTGTGGCGGGCGAGCGGGCCGTCCTGTGGGGGGGAAGAGGCCGCGCCAGGAGGGCAGCCGCCGAGGGGGCGAGGCCCGTGCGCAGGGGGGGAAAGGGCGAGAGGTGGCCGTCGCTTCGGACCATGGCGGGGTCGGGGCCGCGCACGGGCCCACGCGTGGCCCGTGGATCGGGGGCGGACGGACCTCCTACCCCGACACGCCGATTAGCGAATTGGCCGTCTCCGGTTCGCGAGAGGGCATCGCGGCCGTCATTTTTTGCGGGTCCAGGTCCGTCGGTTTCGGTCGTAGGCCGTTTTCACTAAAAGGAGGTTTATTAAAGGGAGGTTTGTCCACCGCCGAGTGTACATCGCAGCTTCTCTAGTGTCAAGAGTCGGGCCTTTCCCTCTACAGGAGGAGGAATGGTCAAAAGTAATTTTAAAAAATAATATGGGGACCATTTTTGGGGCATCTTTTGAAGATTTTGGGGCATTCTGGGGATATTTTACATTTTTCATCCAAAATCCCCCTGTGGGGGACATGCCCGACCTAACTCTAGGGGAACGAACACTGACATGAACATAAAATCTCGGAGGTCCGCGCGGATTTCTCGCATCGGCGCTGGGCCCCCCATGGCGGCGCCTCCGGCGCCGCCCCTGGCGCGCTCCGCGCGCCCAGGGAGGGGGGCCCAGCGCTGATCCGAGAAGTCCGCGCGGAGTTCCGAGCTGACGTGTCCATGCCGCTGTCTCTGTTCTCCCGTGGGCATCGCAGCTTCCCGGCCGGCGCGCGACGGCTCCGCCGCCTGCCGGGCCACGGCTCGAGCAGAGCCTGGCGCAGATGGGGGGAGGCGAGGGCCCCGCGTCTCGGCACGGAGGGTCCAGCACGCCGCTCGTGTGCACGGGGACGCGGAGCATCGGCGGTGCTCTGACGGCGCTGAAAGGCCTCGACCCGCGCGTGGGGGATGCCGAGACACCCTCGGCGGTGCAGCCGCTCGCATGCCGCGACCCGGGGCCGTACTGTCACCGTGCATCCACCTCCCCTCGGAGGGGGGACAGTGGATGCACAATAGATTCGAACCCTTACACATTCGAGGGAGATTCTAAATCACCCTCACGCACCCGACATCAATGTTGATCTCAGTAAAGGCGGTGCCTTGGGGGGTTGAATATTTCGGTCCACTCACGCCCCCCCCCGTCGTCACGCCATCAATATTCATTTCGGGGGGTCTGGGGGGCATCTTGGGCCACAGGGTTCGAATACAATGTCCATGTGCGGAAGGAGCATCCATAACAGCGTCGGAACGCAGGTGGCATTCGCAGCAGCGTGCATATCGGCAGCAGCGGCGCGGGGCGCCCAGTTTCCCGCAGCCATGTGCAGAGCGCTCCGCTGCCGCTCGTGGCTCGAGACGAGCCAGGCTCTGGGCGGCCACCGCAGCACACCTGGACCTCCCGAGGGAGCCCGCCGCGAGGCGGGTCTGCGGGGAGGGCGGCAGCGACAGGGCTTTCACAGGCCTGGGCTCGGTCGTCTCGGCCCATTTGGGCCTCTCGGGGCGCCCTCGTCGCCGACTCGGAGTCCTGGCCAAAGCGGCGACGGGGAGAAGTCCAGGGATCGGCGGTGTTGGCATGGTGGTGTATTCCCCAGGGCCAGGGGCCTTGTGGAATCGTCGGGGGGTGCTAGAGGGGTAGTGGTGGATAGCAGTGTCTCGTCAGTTTGACGCCTTATCGTTTCGGACCCCTCCTTGAGGTAATGTCCAATTTTGTCCCTGATTCGCATTTCGCTAGAATGTTCTACAAGAGGTCCAAGACTCCGTTAATCAGAATCTCCACAGGGGGGCCGGGGGGGTTGTCTCGCTGGTCTGGCGGCGGTCCGGAATCGATTCACTATGGTGTTTTGGTCCAATTTGGTCCAGAAATGAGACTCACCATGATGTTCTGGCTCCATGTCAGCGTCAGCCCTCCCAGATTCTGAAATGAGACTCACTATAGTGTTCTGGTTCGATTTGGTCCTGATCTGACACTCACTGTGGCGTTCTGGCTATATTTCCTTCCATCGGGATCTCCGAAGCAGGTCTTGCTGTGGTCGCCTGTAGGGTCACTGGAGGATGGGCATGGCCGATGTCCAGTGTCACTGGAGGATGGGCGTGGCAGAGCGGAAGCGCTGGCTCGCTCAGGCAGGACTGCATTGACTAGACGGAGTGATTTGCCAATGATGTCTTTGCGTCTCTGTGGGTGCTCGTCCTTGTTCCGCTGCTTGGATGCGCAAGTGTGTTACATCTGGTGGCATTGCTTCCTTATCGCTGGCCTCGACGGTGCTGTTGCTCGTGCCTCTACTCCCAGGCATTGTACCGCCTCTTATTATGTTCCGTCTCCCTCCCCCTACTCAAATTCAACTCCGCCTCCTCCTCCTCATCCTTATCATCATCCTCCTCCACATTCTCTGCTCAGCAGCGCTGGGAGGCGCAAGCGCTGGAGACATGGGTGACGACGACCAGAAGAAGAAGCGCACGTTCAAGAAGTACTCCTTCCGAGGCATCGACCTCGACAAGCTGCTCGACCTGAGCAACCAGGACAGGAGGAGGAGGGATTTTCGATGATCTGTACAGTCAGCAGGACCAACTTCTGTGTCATTACTTTGTAAATGAAGAGATCTAGCCTTCATTTTCTTGGATCCTGCTTCTCCTACGGCATGTATCACTCATTGTATAATGAAATCTTGTCAGATTTACAACGTTCACGAGTATTCCCAAGCAACTACTGTCCAATTTGTGTAAATTTGGGGAGAGCGGGGGTGCAGGGGGATGAGGCTGGGGAGGGTCAAGGGGGCCTTCTGGAGGTCTTCAGAGGTCTCCCCACGTTGAAACATTGCCCAAAGGAGGCCCACTCCCCTCCCCCCCCGCCTGCCAGCGATTTGCAGCATCTCGTCCATGACAGTCGCTGGTACGTTTTGCCCAGCCACTTTGAATGTATTTGGTGGCCTAGCGCACTTCGGCGGTTTAATCCTCGAGGTGGCAGCCGCTTCTGGAGGCCGCCTGCGCGGGTCCCCCCCCCCCCAAGGAGCTCATGGAGCTCTTCCGGGCGCGCCAGCGCCGCAAGTTCAGCCGCGGCATCAAGCGCAAGCCCATCGCGCTGCTGAAGAAGCTCCGCAAGGCCAGGCGCGAGACCCTCCCCCAGCCTCGCCCTCCCGGTCCACCGCCAGAGGAGGCCCGAAGAGCGGTCGCGCCCCGCGGCGCCGCGGGCCTCGGCCAGAGAGCGCCCTGCCCCCTCTCCGAGGTGGCCACGCGAGGGCGCGGCGGGGGCCGCGCGCCGCGCCTCGCGGTGCGCGGGGCGCGCAGCGCCCCCTGCGCGCCCGTGCCGCCGCAATGGCCGCGGCGGTGCCGCAGGATCGCCCTGCGCGGCGGGCGCCGCCGCCGCCCGCCACCGCGGCCCTGCCGGGCCCGTCTGCACCGTGGGGGCCACCGACGGCGGAAGCTGTCCACGGCCCACCGCGATCGGGCCCAGGCGGCCCTCCAGCTGAAGCTGGGCCCGGGTCGCCGCGTGCGTTCGCCGACCTTGCCGCTGCTTCTCTTGATCTTGCCGCTGCTCCTCCTCCTCCTCCTCCTCGTCTCCTCCTCCTCCTCCTCCTCCTCCTCCTTCTCTCACCTCCTCCTCCTTCTCGCCCTCGCCCTCCTCCCTCCTCCTCCTCCTCCTCCTCCTCCTCCTCTCCTCCTCCTCCTCCTCCTCCCTCCTCCTCCTCCTCCTCCTCCTCCTCCTCCTCCTCTTCCTCTTTCCACACCTCCCTCTCGCCTTTCCCCCAAAAAAGGCCTTGTGGACCGTATGCTGCGAGCATCAGTGCCTCCACGAGCGCTGCCGTGCCCTTACTCCTGCCGGCCCCCCCGGTTCTCCTCCCTGCCGCCCCTCCTCGTCCGATCTCCTGCTCCTCATTCTGCCGCTGCGGGTCCTGCTGCTTCCTGTCCCCACACCCCCCTGCTGAGCTTGTGACCCTGGGCTCGCGTTCGATTTTGCCATGGGCGTCCACGTCTCCGCTGTTCACGCCGTGCTCCAGCACAAACGCTCAAGAACTTCGTGTTCTGAGCTTGCTCCTCTCCCTCTCCGCACGCTCCTTCTTTTCCGTCCCCTTTTGTGCCCAATGAGACTTTGTTGCTTCCCGCGGCTGCCCTTGAGCGCGGTGTGGATCCTCGCCTCTGCGACTAAAAAGCCCCTCCCCCCTTGCGGTGGCAGATTCTTGCGCGAGTGCCTCCCCCCAACGAATCATGGTCGGGGCCAGAAACATGGCCACTATACAATGCTTTAGATGGTCACCGCTCAGTGGCAAAGGGCAGGCTAAGCGCAGTGCGCAGACCTGTTCTGACACATGTTGCCCGGAGAACCGGCCGGACAGTCATACACTACTATACGTTGTCCTGTGGCGTGTCTGCGAAGCCCCATGGGCCCGTGGGGCAGGGCCCAGATGCCTTAGTGTATATACCCGCGGCTCCCAGATTTAGAACGATGGTTTGTCACAGTCGGAGAGGCCTCCCGCCGAGGCCCTCATGGGGCGGAGCCACCACCCCTCAACCCGCACGTCTTCGGCGCGCCGCGCTCTGCTCTATATACGAAGTGGTCCTTCTGTCAAGCACGGGCGACGCGCCCCAGCTTGCTGACAGCCCTGCCCAAGAATGATCTGAGAACCTTTTTGTGTGCTGCACGAAATGTTTATCCGAACGCTTTTGGCTGAGACCGTTATGTTTCAACACGTCGGCGCTGTGTTCTGAGAGCCGTGCTTTTGCTTTTAGAAGATTGCGTGGCAGGCCTGTGGGAATGCCAGCACGGTCGGTCCCTGCTCATACTTCCTTCCCACCAATCACAGTGCAGCTTCGGGGGCTCCTGTCTGCCCGGTGAAGTGTGCCGCCGCGCGCTCGGCCTGGACTCGGCGCGGAGTCGACATGGGCTCGACGCGGACGCAGCGTGAGTCGACGGACTCGGCGTGGATCCGACGAGGATCCGCCGCGGGCATCGACACGACGGGGCAGGCAAAACGTCCCCCGAAACTGCCACGCAGTGCGAGCACGCCGCCAGCGGGGCCCTTCCAGAGGAGGGGGGGGGGGCCTCGCCTGCTGCACGGGCGCCCCGCCCTCCGGCGCAGGCTTCTCCGCGGCAGGAGGAGAAACATCGGGGCAGCTCTGCCCCTGTGGAGGGCGTCGCGCAATGGGCGGGGGGCGATGACTGGGGCGTCGCGCAAGGGGGGGATACGGGGGGGTCGACGAATGTGGGTGGGGGGGTGCGTCACGTAATGGGGCGGCGGCAGACGGGAAGGCTGGGGCGTGGCGTGGGGGAGGCGATGCATGGGGCGGGGGGGGCGTCGACTCATGGGGGGCGGCCAATGGGAAGGCCAGGGCGTCGCGTCGCGTCGCGTCATCGGATGGGCCCGCGGGGGCTGCAGACAAGGGGCCCCCAAAGGGGTGCCTTTCGGCTGCGAGAAGTGTACCTTTCCCCCCCCCCCCCCCGTTTCTCCGCCCCCCCCCCCCCCCACCACTGAGCAACGGCCAAGCGGCGGAAGCAAAAGCGAGACGTCAACGTGCCTGGGGGCCTGCTTCCCGAAACGGCCACGCGGCGCTGCCCCTCTCATGCTCGACGTCTTCATCCTCCTTTCTTCGTCTCCTTGCTGGCGCTGCCTCCTCCTCCCCCTCCCCCTCCCACTCATCCTCTGGTCCACCCGAGGCGGCGCGAATATATGCTCGCACGTCGCGCCTCGCGGCTCGGGTTGGAGGGGCGCCCTCCTCCACAGCGCCGGCGCGAGGCCGCGAAAACGACCGCGCGACGCGCGAGGTTAGGTGACCCGGCTCATCCTCATCCAAGTGTTGGAAACAAGTAAGCAGCACTCAGGCGTAACGTACAGTTTGAAATCCCCCCTCCTCGGAAGCAGTGTTGGTGTCGCATCTTCCGATACTGAGAGCATCCGAGCGTTACCCCTGGTGCGGAGACGCGCTGACTTGGAGCTGCGGGGGAGGGGGGAGTGTTGCTCACCTTTTCCCTTTTTGTCTTTCCCCCTTTCTCTAATCCCTCCCTTTTCTGCCCCCCCCTCCCCCCCCCTTCGCTCCCCCCCACCCCCCTCGCATCCCCTTAGCGCGGTCCTTCATGGGGGCCTCAGGGGGCCCCCCAAATTCCTTAAGGTTTGCAGGATGTCGTCCGGATTTCGCCAGACCTGGCCAGCATCTGGACGACATTTGGACGACATTTGGACGAAGGGGTGAAGAGGGGTCGTCGAAAGCTGGACGACATCCGGTCGAGATCATGTTAGATGAGGCCGCGGAAGTCCACAGAGGTCCCCATGAAGGTTTACCCAGTTCCCCTTTCCCCTCTTTCCTCGCTTTCCTTACCCCCCCTCCCCCCACCCCCCTGACGGCGCTCGTCCCGGCAGTCGTCGCCGCGGCGGTCTCGATGCATCGCGCCCGCCGTCTCCATCTCTTGCGGGCGCCAGACAAACCGAGTGAAGGAGCTCTTCCTCCTCCCATTCCTCCTCCCTTGACCCCAGATGGGGTCGAACTCGATTCGGGAGGCCTCTACTTGTCCTTTCCTTCCCCTCCTTCCCTCCCCCTCCCCCCGCAGCCCCCGCCGGCCCCCCCCCGCCCCTCCCCGCCACCGCTCCCGCGGCCCCTCCCTCCCCCTCCCCCTCCCATGCCCCTCAAGCCGCTTGGGCCCGAGCCACACGGTGGAGCCAGCGCTCCGCACCGCCTTCTCGCGCCAATCCCAATACTTTCCCGCGGTGCGTGGAGGATTTGGACCTCCGTCTGCTCCCACGCATCACTCGGATCTCGACAACGGAAGTTGGGATTGGAGCCATGTCAGGACGTCGCCCGTGGACCCGCTGCAAAGCCTGCGGCACGTGCGAGTACAACGGCAAGTTCGACAGCCAGAACCCGACTTGCCCAAACTGCAAGCGTCGAGTTAAGCTGCACCGTGCCAGATCTCGATCACCCTCGGTCACATTCGGCGACACCGAGATCGTGCAGCACGAACCCCAGGCGCGGCAGTATTCCGCCCAAAAAGAAGACGACCGTGACCGACCATCTCCAGCTAGCACTGGCCCAGGCGGCCGACCCCCAGCTCCAGGGCATCCTCCAGGCGCAGATCACCAGGATCACCGCCCAGCACGAGGATGGCGGGAACAGGGGCCAGGTCACCACCGTGGAAGCGATGAAGCAGGCCGACGGGATCTGGCGTGCCGCAGTCAACAGGCACAACCAGCTCGTCGCCAACGTGCTGAAGCTCAGGGAGAGCCTCCACGCCGCCGAGGCGAAGGAGACGGAGGCAGCTTTGGCCGCGGCCAAGGCCGAGGCCGTCAGAAAGAAGGCGGCGACGGCTCTGGCTCGGGCATGGGGCGTGGGGCCCACGGCCACCGACGCCGCGAACAGCCAGGCCGAGGCCAGCGGCCCCATGTTTTCCGCCCACTGGGGCCCGATGCTATTCCAGGGCCTCGAGGACCTCGAGTTCTCGAGGACCACGAGAAGCAGGAGCTGGACAGGGTCAAGCACGACCTCGAAGAGCTCAAGAAGGCCTTCGACGCCAAGGAGCCGCAGGTCCAGGCGCTGATCACCCGCGCCCAGGCCGTCAGGAAGCAGCAGGAGAAGCGGCTCACGAAGAAGCGGAAGGGCCTCGACGGCACCACCGCCACGGCGCAGCAGCAGCAGCAGCAGCAGCAGCAGCAGCAGCAGCAGCAGCAGCAGCAGCAGCAGCAGGCCACGCAGGTCGGCGGCGGCGCGGCGGGCTCGGCACCCTCGGCACCAGCCGACGTCACCGGTGCCGCCGAGGCCGCAGCGCAGGCTGCGGCGGCCGCCGCGGCCCAGGAGGAGGAGCTCAAGGCCGAGGCAACCCGCCTCTCAGTCGCCAAGTTTGCTGCCCAGCAGGCGGCAGCGGCGGCGGCCAAGACGGGCGAGGACGGCAAGGGCACCTCCCCGAAGAGCGGCGAGGGCGGGCAGCAGCGAGGCGCGGCAGCTGACCAGGATCAGGCGCCGCCAGCTGCGACACCAGCCGAATCGCGACCAGCGGCGGCGGCGGGCCCTCCAACTCCCATGGGTGGTCGTAGGGGATTGGAACGTCCCCCCCCCCAGACTCTTCAAGCCTCGGGGCTTTCGCAGGACATCGGAGGCTCGATCCGATGCGCCGACGTCGGATGCACATGCGACCCAGGCGGAGGCAAGAAGGCCTCCCACCTGGACTACCTAGTCCACAGTCGCGCGGCCACTCATACATGCAGTGCGTCGAGGCAATGCACGATGTGCGATGGAAGCCACGCGTAGCTCTTCTCACTCATTTTGATTCATCAGGCGAGCAGCTCCTAACCGGGATCATGGAGCTCCCTCGCCGTCTCCCGTCAGTTGCCCGGCCCGCGAAAGCCCCCGCCCTTGGGTCCAGCAAGGCCAAGGCCCAACGGGCTGAGAAGGCCGCAAAGGGTCGGTACCTTCGGGACAAAACCTTCCAGGCTGTTGCGTGCGATCTCTGGGAAGGAGAGGCCGAAGACGGCACCTCCACCCGTGCAGGCGAATCGCCCGACGACGAACTTTCCCCCGCTGAAGCAGGGTCTGAGGAGGAAGACCCTTGGACCAGCGAGACAGTCTTTCAGACGGCAGCCGCGCCATCAGTCGAAGCATCTGTTGTGCCTGGGCCGCCTGACCTCCTAAGCAGTGGCGGACATCTCACGGCGAGCAACGGAAAAGCGAGCTGCCCGTCACGTCGTCTGATAATTCAGCCCAGCGCTTGAACCCCCCCGTGCCTGCACGACCCCAGGGGTCGGGGCCCGTGCCAGCCAGCGCGCCTGAATGCTCGAAGAATGTTCGCCAACAGCCTAGCCCTAAGAGACAGCGGCCGACGTTCGAAGTGCCCTCGGACTCGTGGCGAGCCCATCGGGAACAAGCGGGGGTGCTGAACCCCGACTGCTGCTGCCCTGCTACGGGCGCTGTGCAATCCGTTGCATGTCGGCTCAAGCCCGACGCCTCCACTTACCTTGGCCAACTGCGCGGTTCCTGGGTCGCTACCGTGGAATTCACCATCCACGATCATCGCCAGCAGGCCCGCCTCGGGAGCTGACGCGCCCAGGGCCCCGAGCTTCGCGTTGCGACTGTGAGGGGGGTCCAGACAAAGCGCGCGACAGCGCTCGGGGGTGCGAGCAGCTCATGGCGGGCGCGTGTACATACCATTCTACAGCATATCTATCGGCGCCGTGCTCGCGACAACGGACTACTCCAACTTCGTCAACTGCATGGCGCCGTGGATTGACCACGACTGGAGGCGCCTGCAGGCGCCGCCAACATCATTCGAGATAAGGACGGCATCGCCTGGGCTCAACGGCCGGCAGTGCTGGAAGCAGTGCGCACTGCCCCCGTCGAGGAGATAGTGGACTACGCAGCGGCAGCAGGACTTCTGGCCAAGCGAGCTCAGCGCCGAACCCTCGGCACATCTACGTTTGACTCCTGCGAGTGGGCAGTGGCGACGCCAGCTTTGAGCGCTCTGCTCCGCTCGCTCAAACCTCAACCGCATCCAGCAGCCGTGGGCCCCAGCAGGCCTGGGCCTCACAGGGTTCGACGACCTTTTCGACAAATTGCGCAGCGCGTTCGCGAGGAAGGCCCCCCCCCCCCTCTCGACGGCGCCGCGGCGCGGCGAGCTCTGCGACGCCAGCGGGCCAACGCAGGCCTAGGCGCCGACCGCCTCGGCCCCGCGGATCTCCCGAGATTGCCCGACGAGGCCCTGCAGAGCCCGACAGCATTTTCAATGTTATGGAACAGATGCAGACGTGGCCGCACCAGCTCCTCATTGAGGGCCAAGAAGGACAACGGTGACCGCATCGTCGGCCCCCTCCCAGAGACCGTTCGCCTGTGGTCTATGTGCAGGGAGGATGCCGTTCAGGAGTGGAACCAGAGGTGCCGCGCTTCATGGGGCGCCGCCGCCCGCGGCAACTCAGTCCTCCGCGAGGCCTGCGAGAGAGCCCTCCAGGAGGAGATCTCAGCCTACGCCCGTGTCCCACAGGGGCCTATGCTCCTGGATATTTCTCAACTCTACGATTCCATCGATTGGATCGCCCTCGGTAGCGAGGCGCTGGGCTGGATTTCCTTTCGTCAAAAATACATAGAAGACTTCTGAAGCCGGCGATTGCGGGGTCAGCGCTACTCCAATGCCGACGGATGCTTGTTGATTCGGACGCGGCGTTATCAAACGACCGACCCCGCCCTCTCAGCATTGAAGAACGCGCTTTCTGACAAGTGCCCAAAAGCATCGTGCTCCAGGATTTCAATTTCCACGTCTGGGTACTTTTGACGAGGCGTGTAGGCCCCAAGATCTTCCAATGCGTCGCTCCACAAGTCCTCGCCCAGAGCGGCAGTTACACGCTATCGTTCCAGCCGGCGCGATCGGCGGTGCAGGGGCTCTGCGTTGGCACGCGACTTGCGAAGTGCACGACATTCAATGCTCCTCGCCGAGTCGCCCAGGTGCACGCGCGCTGTGCGCGCAGAATCTGGGCCGACGATCTTTCGCAGCGGCTTCCAGGATCCCGCCGCGCGGTTCGCCGGGGCCTTTTGCAACGTCTGCTCGACGCATGCATGCGGCCCCGCGCACGGGGGCTAGGCGTCGCCAAGACACGTATCATTTTATGCTCCAGCATGGACGACGCCAGATATGTTGCCCGAGGTATGGCACGACGCGGATTCAAGGTGCAACCACGAGCACCGGCGGCCTACTTCGGGATAGATCTCGGGGCAGGAGTTCGACATGCCAGAGCGACCCGCACGCAGCGGCTGCAGAAACACAAGATCATGCATGCGAAGATAACCCGGCTCACACGAGCCACCCGTCGCTACCAGGTGACGGGCCGTCTCGCCCGAGCAGGGGCCCAGGCGGCAGGCGGCTGCAAACGCCAGCTGCACGGCGTCATCGGCGCGCAGATGGTCTTGTTTCGACGCCGCCTCGGCGACGCCCTGGGACCGCGCCTCCAAGGGCGCCGCCTCGCCGCGCTGCTGGGCCTACGCGCTGCCGCCCAAGACCTTGCCCGCAGGTTTCCACGCGAAGCTGCGCACCTCTGGCTCAGTGCGTGGATCCAGGCAGGGCCGATGCAGCGGTCCATTGCTTTCACTTGGGGCTCAGTCGCCACGCATCTCCGCTCGCAACCAGCAGACAGCGAGCGCGCTCCGCTGCGTTCGGGGACCGCAGTCAGCGATGATTCTCTATCTTCGAGCAAGGATGGGGTCCCAAGCGACCTCGCGAATGGGCCCTCTCTCCGACTGTGCATGGTCGGCCAAGAGGGTCCAGATACGCGGCAATTTGATGCGTCTCAGCTCTCAGGGGACCCGGCAGTTGACGCGCCAGCCGCACTTCTTCAAGACATCGGTCGCAGCGTTCAGAAAAAGCATTGGCTTCAAGCCAGTGCCCATTATGGAAGACCAGGCATGTAATAAGGGATCGACGACAGATCATATCGCAAGCTGCTGGATTATGTCTGCAAGATGAAGCGGGGCATCAGGCTGTCCGCGCTGATGCCCGCGATAGCAGCGGGGGCCACTTGGCCCGAGGCGAGGGCCCAGTCCGAGACCAACGCCGACACCGATGGCACGTGCCCCCGCTCTCTATTGAAGAAAGAGGCCGCGTTCCATCGCGCTTGGGATTGCCCCGGGCACAAGAGCTGCCCAGTCTACGACGCCACCGAGTACCTCGTGAGTGAGGCCACCGCTCAGCAGGATATGCACGAATATTTTTGGACACGAGGGCTCCCCCCCCAAGCTTGGACGTGGACCCCTCCGCCAGCAGCAGCCCCTGCATGGAGCATTTTTGGCATCGACACCTTCGCGACAGGTTGCCTCGAGGCAGGGCGGCGAGGGCCTGCGATCTACATTTTCGGCGACGCTGGCGGTGGAGCAGACGTAGTCTCACCAGTGCTACGCCGAGTGCGCGCGGCCATCGCGAAGTTCGCAGACTTGGACGCCAACGGCATGGAGCTGCAGATGGCACTGTGGGGGCCCCTGGCTGGCGATCGACAAACAGTGGTCAGAGGCGAGTTGTGCGCCCTCCTCCTTGCCCTGCAGGTGACATTCTATGATGTGATATACGTGGCAGAATGTGAAGGAGTCGAATTGGGCGTCTACAGCGGCCACCTAGAGAGCCCCGAAGGACCTGGCGCTGACCTCTGGCACCAAGTCGGACAGGAGTTGCACCGTCGATCAGGCGATGTTGTTGCCCCCCTTGTTCGGTCACATCAGTCGGGGCAGGGCATCATACAGGGGCGTTCGGTTCGATCTCTCGTCTACGGCACTACCACTGTCGATGAATTTGCCAGTATCGCCGCCGACGAGCATCGAGTCCCCAAGCAGATTCGACAGCATATTCAACTTGAGGAATATAAGGCTCATCTTGTTCGCATGCACCTCCTGAGGGCCACCCTTGAGTCCCCAGGGTGTGAGCGAACCCAGAAAATAGCAGCCCAGGAAACTCCTGCAGGTTAAAGACAGCCACGCCAAACTAGGATACAGCTTGTCAGGCCCCCTGCCTCTGCCAAGTGTGCTGATTTCGCCTCCGCCCGCAAGTTGGATGAGACAGTCCTGAAGTGTACCGTATGGAAAGGATATGCAACACGAGCCACTAAAGTAGATATGTACCGATCAGAATGCTTCGAGCTCATTAATATTGATGGCACGTATATGACCCTCCCCTGGGTAATCAGGTACACGTAGCAGGGGTTGGATTTATTTAACACATCGTCCGAGGTTCCACGCTGGGTTGGGAATTCGGTTGTGTGCTCAATGCGGTATGATTATCTCCCAGCAGACGGGGACATGTGCCCTTGAATGTGAACCCCCCCAGCGCCACAGGGCGTGAAGATTTACGACGTATCGATTTGGGCCTCTGGCCAAAAGGTTCTCAGCAAAGGTGAGAAGATCCAGAAGAGTGGGCACAAACACCCCCTGTAGGTGCTGGCGGATTTCAATCATATCGCTACGCGATCAGGCACAGTCTCAGAGACTCCCCCTCCCATACCCCCCCCCCGCCGCCCCCCCCTCCCCCTCCCCCCTCCCCCTCCCGCCCCACTTGGGAGGCCTTTGGTTGCCCTTCCGCCCCCGCCGCCGACGCCCCCGCGAGGCCAAGCGAGAGACCGCCTACGGCGAGAAGCCCGAGGCACCCCCCTGCCCCGCCCAGCCTGTCGTGAGCGAGGAGGAGGAGGAGGAGGAGGAGGAGGAATAAGAGGAACAAGAGGAGGAATAAGAGGAGGAGGAGGAATAATGGAGGAGGAGGAGGAGGAGGAGGAGGAGAGAAGGGGAGGAGAGGAGAGAAGGAGAGAGGAGGAGGAAAATGACAAGCAATGGATTGGATTGAGAGGGCACCTGCTCACCAAAAAAAAAAACTTATAGAAAAAAGGGGTTTGGGGGGGGGGGGAGGGATTAGGAAGAAAGTTTGGATGATGATGCTGATGCCTGATGCCTGAAGCTGATGGAAAACCGAAATTGAAATGAATGAAATGATGATGGGAGATGATGATGATGATGAAAATGATGATATTGATGCAGATGCTGATGCGGAATTGATATCGAGATGAACGATGATGATGAAATGAAGATGAAGCAGATGCCTGAATAGCCCCCCCCCCCCCTTGAGTTGATGCTGAAGACGATGGACGATGATGATTATGCTAATGATGATGATGATGATGATGATTTATGATGATGAATGGTGCTGAATGAGATTCATGCAGGAATGATTGATTCCTGAATGATTTTGGGCTGATGTAATGATAATGAAAAAGAAAAAAGATGATGAAGATATGAAAAATGAATGACGAATGGACGATGAACGATGGACGATGATACTGATACTGATGATGATGATGATGATGATGATGATGATGATGATGCTGATGA